AAGAAATAGAAGGCATTTATTATCTTCATCTGCTTTACAATTTTTCAGAGCTCCTCTTTAACAAAATGACTCCCCATGTATATAATCAATATGTTCAGCATAGTAAATGTGAGACTGATATAGGAATGACCAGTATTTTTTATTTGTATCTCCACAATAGCAGTAACCAAAAAGGTGAACTTTGACCTCCTCTCAAATACATTACTGGTAAATTATGGAAACCAATGTACCACATACTTCCAAGTATTGAGTGCATTTATAGAGAAAAAATGAACCTAAAGAGAATCAGAACTAGTTCTAAACAATTAGAGCTTGTCATTTAACTAAATATAAAAATTATAGAAATTACAGAAATAATTTAAAAATCTGCTTTGCATCTTTCAAAGACATGGTAGAAAATTCATTTCTAACACTATCGTAAAGGTGCAATTTTTATTCTAAATTAGGTTTTAAGTTGTTTTAGAACTCTCTTAAATATTGTTTTCAAAATTAAGAAAATGGATACTTTTAAAAGAGGCTTCTTTGCAATAGGACTTCTAAAATTATAGTTAAAATTACAAAAATAGCATCTGTGCTGTTCATTCTTTCTACAACATAGCAATATTTCTCCTCATACACTTTAAAAGAAAAGCTTTTCTTTTTTAATTAAAAAAGCAAAGGTTAAAGTTTTATTCATATATACAAGAAAGGATGGTATGTTCTCTTACTTGCAATAGATAGCATGAATATATCTGCAATATAATTTAAAATAAGTTTATTTTCCTGTTACTAACACACACAAGTCGAACAGCGTTCATACGCCCTGCTACTACAGTTTAGATTATAGTCAATATAAAAGAAGCTCTTCAAGAATTGTCTTCAAATGACAGAGAGGCTGAAGGAAAATGCTGTTTTCTTTGGTTTGGAAAGATTAAATTTCTGTTTTAAAAAAATGGCCACACTTAATGGAGGGGTTTGAATCAAGTTAGCAAAAATATTATGAAAAAATATTGACCACCCTAGAGGAATTATTAAAGATGCCAATCCATACCCCTTGACCTGAAAAAGCAACGATAATCATGTCAATTATGTAAAAAGTTAAGAACAAGTTTACCTTTATGCAAACGTTGAAAGAAATCTCTTAAAGCCTTAGAAAGACAGAAACTTTATCACCCTGTTACATCCAAATCACGTGAAAACACGATTTCAGCTTGTTACTTGTATACAGAAGCGCATCTTCTTGTACTGAGAGTTTTTTTAATCCATGATTCATATAAAAATCACTTCTTCCCAAAGCCATAGAGGGGCTGTATAAAGGGAAGGATCTAGACCCATTAATTTTGCCTCTGGGTAGTCCTATCCTTTCAACTAAAGAACTATCAAAAGCATCCCCAAGACACTGTCAACTTTCTTTGAATGGTACTTTTTACAGGCGTATTCCCTAGTTTCAGTAGATTATATGCTACTATCCATTAGTCTCTAATCCTTTTAGAAAAAGTTACATAATTTAAAAATATATACATACATATATGTATACGCATATATATGCATGTATATCCTTAAATGCTAGTTGAAATTATTTATTTAGACTGCCATATACTTTTATCCCTATTTAATAGCATTGGTCAATTTCAGTGAAAAACAAATTCAGCTAGAAGCATCTCATATATTAAACTTCTGATGCAGATGTATTTATGACAAGCCAATCATTTAAAACATTTTTAAAAATCACAAGTGGATCAAATATTTAATTTTAGAAAGCATTATTTTTTCGCAAAATGCTGGCAAGACCTACACCTATATTATTCTGTGGCAGAAAGTCTAACTTTGGTCTCGATTTTCTGTAATATTAGACCAAATTTGCTCCATTATGTAATCAAACTGTTTTACTTTTGCTTTCTCTTCCCCAAATCATTTAATCATTACCATTAGGGAAAGAAATATTATGTTGCAATTTGGAATTAATGGTGTCTTCCCGGCTGTTGCACAAAATGGAAATCATAAGAGCTATAGGTATTTCAGACATATAATTGTCTGGTTACGTGTAAGTTGTTTAAGATCAGATGGTTCTAAAAATATGTTTTGGGAATTCGCTCAAAATTGGTTTAATATACTCACCTCAAATTGATATTTTGTCTATGCTGTCTTTAGGCTAACGAGAAGTTCAAATTAACTTTCAGATTTCTAACACATTCTTCATTTTGCTTATTAATCTTCTCGTTCATTTTGGAAATATAATTAGGACAAGCTACTATATTCTAGTTTTATTTTCAGTTAGCACCAAGTCTAATATGCAAATCTTATGTAACTATCATGTTATCCATTTTCATAATTTCTTGATTAGAACTATCTGATAATTTGACCAGATAGAATAACTAATATTCTCTATTATGAAATGAAGTTCAAAACTATCCTGCAACAACACTCTATTGTGTAGTATTTTATGGAATTAGTATTTTAGGATTTCCCCTGTACAGTGGTAGCAACCTTAAGTTCTGATAAAAATGTTAAAGTCTAATTACCATATTTGCTCTGAAACATTAATAGGATTTACTAAGATATTCTTTTAAAAGGAGAAAAGATGAAGATTGCATGAAATTGTTACCCTAGAAGATTTTGTGGGATGACTAGGGTAATAATGTCCTATAATATATCATTTAATGTCTCTCCTCAATCCACTCACTATATATTGGAATTAGCTCTAGCTTTCAGTATATAAAGTATCTTAATTTTTCAGCAGTATGAATACTCATATGCATCTCTTTTACATGTCATTGCTATAATTAACAATCTGTAAAGAGTAATGAAAATAAATATCACAAACCAAGCCCAAACTTTTACCTTTCCTAAGACAGTGGAGAAACAAGCAAAGAAAATCTTATTTTGCTCACACGGAAAGCAGTTGGTTTCTTTTTTGTACATCTTTTCATGTTTAAACTTGTTAAATCAGTTGTCCACAGATGAGGCAATTAAGCGACTGTCCTTTTGTCCTTGTAACCAAAAGGTGGCACCTCTAAAAATTAGAGTTAGCTTTCAACAGAGATACTACATTTAAAAGAAAAAACGGCATTTAAATGTCCAAGCCTTATAAAGAAGATCTTCTTTTTATTACTCTAGATAACTCTACTTAGACAGGAGAGACAAGTGCCTCTAACGGAAAATGGTTTAGAAAATAATATACATTACATTGATGGTAAATGAAAGCAGCTCTTTTCTAAGTTGGTGTAGAAACTTATACACTAGAGATATGTAGTGAAAAAAATACTTTCTGGGGAACATAGATGAGTGTGGAAGATCAGGTAGAATTCAGAAAGAAGATTCTCTTTTTCTTATTCCAAGTGAAGACGTAGAAAAAAAAATTGTAAGACTTGGCATTTCACTTGATATCTCAAAGGAAAGGATTTATCTGGACACTAACATCTGCTGGCTTCTCTGTGCCCATGTAGGACCCACTTGGAAGGCTTTCCCGATACATTCAACTAGGCACTTCTCTCTACCTCCTCCCATCTGACAGTAATCACTTAGCTGTCTCTGATGAGTAATAGGAAAGGAAAGCTTATATCATTGATGATGGAATTAGAAATTGCCGAAGCTGCCATCAAGTCTCTGTCTAACAAGTACGTTTTACTTGACCTATTATGCAGGCAGCCAGCACACATAGTTGCTTTGATAGCTCTCTATTTCTTACAATAAGATGTGAGAACAAAATATTTTTCCCTTTAAGATTTTTAAAATTTGAGACTATCTTCCTACCACTACTTTCTAAACTTTGTTCCAGTACAAGAGGATTCTTGGCCAACTGGGCTTCCATGTGCCTCCTAAATGGAGTACTGAAATTGTATAAACATCATGTTTACATCTTATTAAAGAAAAGAAGGCAAGGCATGAATTTGATATCCGGGCAATAAAACGTAAACAGGAGAAAGTAGAATGAAATGACAATTCATACACAAAGGTAGCTTCAACACAAAAGTTAAGCGCTTGCTCTGTTTCACCAAAGGGTTAATATTCAAGAAAGTGAAAATCAACATGTACACAAAGATAACTAGAAGACTAGCTTTCTCAAAGCAGAAATCCAAGCCTCCTGATAATACTGGTGTAACTTACATATGTCTTGAAACTTTACATTTTTTTTGCCTCCTTCCTCCCCAAAATAAAGGCCATACCAGAAAACCTTAAGAAAGTAATAATCTGTTTTCATTTTTAATTCTTGTTACTCAAGAAACCCCTCAAAGTTCAGACATTACCACTGATGGGCAATATCAAATAGGCAGCCCCACAGGACAGATGGAAACAGGAAAAGTCAGATGGTTGGCACTTAAAAGCAACAGCAGTTAAGCAGTTGAAAGTGGGTTGGATCGGTGGTTTATTTTTGTTCCATTTGAAGGAATCAAGCGACAGATACAGCCTCTTGCAAGAAGATCAAGTCAAACTTGAAGCTTCCTCTCTCTGACAGCCAGGGGTGGACGGTTTGTCTACTCCCTTTATTCAGTTTAATTGCTTTCTATACTCTAATTTTAGCAGAGGTTGTATTCTATCTCCCCCCACCCCCACCACCCCAGCGGAAAGAAATCTTTCTCCTTTCTTCACCACTCCCCTGTCTCCTCTGTGAAAAGGAAATCCTCTTCAAGAGGAGAAAGAAACCCTGTGCAGTGCTTAGGATGGGAGGAGGGCGAAGACGAGAGAGAGACAGAGAAAGGGGTGGGGGGAGGTGAGAGATTGAGAATGGGGTGGGGGACAGAGGAGAGAGAATGAGAGAAGGAAGGAGAGAGCAAGAAGATGGGGAATGCCCAACATCAACTCCAGGCTCTAAATTACAGGCGGACGCTGTGCAAAGTGCTTTTCCAGGAGATGCACATGTGGTCTCATTATATTTCTCACAATAGGCCAACCGGAGCTCCCTCCCCAGGTCTCAGTCTCGCACTACCAAAACCCAAGTGTACTGAGAACAAAATCTTGCGGACGGATTCAAGCAAACAGGCACCACCGCGGTGGCGGTGCAGCCAGTCCTGCTGCCTTACCTGGAGGGAGGACCGGGAGGTGGTGCAGGTCTCCGTTCCCACTGCTCTCCCCACGCGGACCCGCGCGAGGCACACGTCCTCTCGCTGCCTCTGCTCTTGGAGGGGCAGCCTGCAACACAAAAGGGGTGTGTGGGTGTGAGTGTGTGGGAGGTTTTCCAGGGCCACCAGCTGGTCCCAGCTGGCCGCCCCCACCCTACACACACCCCTTGGGGCGCTGAGCCCCTATCTCAGCTGAGCACCACCCTGAAGGGCTTGCCCAGGGTGCAGCCTCAAGTTGCCGCTGCTAAGTGCTGCTGCTGCCACCGCTGCAGAAGAAGAAGGTGGAAAGACAGTGGGGGCAGTACTCGATCTAGAGCATCCCCACACTGCAGCTTCTCCAGGAATCCCTCCAGTGAGGAGGCGGCCGCCCATCATCTCCCAGCCCCGGCTGCGTGATTGGTTCCACCTCGGGTACGCTACGCCAAGGAGCCAATCCGGGCTCACTAATAATAGGTGGATCCGCTCAGCCAACAGCGCCCATCCCAGTTCTGTTAGTGTCTCTCCATCCCCACAGCGGACAGGGACTTGAGGAGGGGGGTTGAGGAGGGTTGGGGGAGGGCGGTGAACTAAAGAGGGGAACAGATACCAAGGAGACACAATCAAGGGCATCCAGTAAACCCTCTGGGTGGGCGCAGGAATGCCCCGCAACCTGTTCTGCAAGCCATATACACAGGAGAAGGAGCCAGCATAATACAAAGCTTTTTTTTTTTTTTTTTTTTTTTTTTTTACTTTCAATCAAAACCTGTCCTGATACTGAGCATGCCCAGACTGCAACAGCGACTTAGGAGTTCCGAGGTGTGTGGGTCACAGACTGTGGGTTTTTGAAAAGATGGAAGCGGGGGAGAGGCAGAAGTTTGTCTTTGGCCGTTTGACCCGGCAGAGTTGTGAAAGCAGAGCAGGGCGGGGAGTGTCCTCCAACTGAGCCACGGGGAGGTGGCCCTGTGGACTGTCGGAGGCTAATCATATTATTCTGTCGAGCTCTGGGGTGGAAGCGGGGCTAGAATGATCCGAGCCTTGCTAGATGCCTGGAGACTTCTCGTGAAGGGTGCGGCGGACAGGGATGCAGGGGAAGCTCCGTCCCGTAGGTGGGGCCGGGGAGCGCGACTCCACCCCGCGGCCGGCTCCAGGCGGGGGAGAGCGCGCTGGGAGTTTCCACCGCAGCGACCAATAAGTTTGTAGACTTGGGTCAAGCGCGACATTGTTGGGGATGCAGTTCTTGCCGGCCCCCTCCCCCATCTCTCTCCACCCCTTGCCAGCGCAGTGACGACTAAAGCGTGGGTCCCCTCCCTCCTTCCTCTCTTTCCCCTGAACGATTCTGCTAGGAAGTAAGAAGCTTTTCCCTTGTGAGAGCGGCGCTGACCTGATTGTCACTAAGCTCTAGAGCAATTTATAGCTTGGTAATAACGAGGGCTACTAAACTGGGAGGCTCAGCGGGTGGGGGAAGGGACTGCGAGCTAGGCGAGGGGCGGAGCGGAACCCGGCTCCGGGGTGGGAGCGAGTCCATTCTCTGCTCCACAGGTGAAAGGCTTTCAAAATGCAAAGAAGTATTTCCTTTCTCACTCACTGACCTTGTTTAACGGCCTTTGAACTTCTGATTTGTTTTGTTTAGAAATCCTAGCTGTTTGTGTAAACTTGGTCAATAGCTACAAATGAGAACTCTCCTAATTGAGCTCTTTATTTTACTATGAAGATTATCATGACATCTCAAGTAAGGAAATAAATATCTCAATTCCCCAAACCCATCCACTTTGAACTGGAGTTTCATTAACATTGGCTTGCAAAGGTAACTGTAGCAAGAATTCAATTAACAGTAACACATTTCTTCAAGTTTTAATTAAATCTCTCCTATTTATGTAATGTTTAAGATTAAGATTCTTATTTAAGTAGTATAGAGGGAAAGAAGAAAACCTTGATATAAACTAATCCTTTTACTGACAAATACTTGGGTATTCTCCAAAATTGTAATTTTATGTAAATATGTATCTTTCACTTTCCAAAATATTCCTCCAATCTTATTTTAGAATAGTTTCATAGAGGGAGAGAGGAGATAATAGATGTCAATTTAAAATCGATTTTAAGTATTTGATGGGAAAAAAGAGGAGAAGAGAGGAGGGAGGAGGAGAAAAAAAGAATCAGTTATCTAATATTATTTTCCAAAAAATGTCTTTGTATGAGAAGATTATTATAATATCTACCTAATGGAGATCTTTATTCTAAAAATACTCCTAGCATTCCAATAATTAAAACTGCACGTTTTAAATAGCTGCATCCAGTAGCTGCATCTAGAAACAAGTAAACTTATTTTACAAGAAATAAGTAGACTGTGAATCCAGATTAGTTATCTCTGTTCCATTAATATTTTAGCCAATTTCTCCTTCTGTCTACTTCACATCCTACCCAACAATCACTCTCTCTCAGTGGTCAGAATCCTAGACAACATTAATGGTGCAAGGTGTTTGTATTCCAAAGTTCCTTGAGGAAGACTGCTGGATAACCTAAGAAATGGGTTTTACACATATGTTGTGATTAAATTTAGAATTAATAGCATTTCTGTTCCTGAACATTAAGACAGTACTTATATACTGGATGTAGATATACTCTAGTTTTTGCAGGACTAAGATTTTTATTTTCTCTCCTATTTTTACGTTCTCCCCAAGCTCTGGGAATGGCCTGAAGACCCCTCCCTGGTCCCACTGGGTTGACATATCATACTATTCTGTTGCAGAGAGTGTGTATCTTATCTTTCCCCTTTACAGCAGACTCATCTCCATTAAAAGAAAGATCAGGTCAATTGTCCTTTCTCTCTCTTTATCCCATTGCTCAGGTACTCTTCAATCTATAATCTCTATGTCTTATGCTACTGAGATGTAAGTCATCTCCTGGTTGCATGGTATTTTACAAAAATTATTTGCTATTTTCAGAACCATGTTCATCTATTTTGTTTAATGTTTTGCTTCTTCATTCTTAGCTTTAAAAAAAACCCCACTTTTGTTCATTTTTTCTTCACATTTTTGCTGTGATGGAGATCTCATTGTTATCATTTCCTTTATGCCTTTTTCAATGGACTCCTCTATTTACTACTTTAATGTTCCCTTTGCCATCTATTTTAGGCTACAGGATTAGAATAGAAACTAAATTAGATTGAGGCACTGAGGACAAAAGTATGTCTTATGGCAAGAGTGGGAATTAGAGACTTTAGACACTAGAAATTCATTAAGTGCAAACTTAGCCAAGGTTTTCTGTAGACCACAGAAAGAATGCATGAGAGGTTCTAAGAAAATTCTCCATGTTGGTGGAAAAGCTTGTATATCCTAGTTGATCAGTAGTTCTAGAGTCCTATTTAATCAAGATTCTCATATATCATTAAACTTTATATCTTTACTAACCACATATATTTCATATCTTTAATCCTCCTGTTCTTAACTGTCATGACCCAGAGTGTGAAAAAATAAAAAAATAACCAACTTTTCTAGATTTTGCCTGTTGTTTGTATAGATTCACATCTTACTTGTTTTATTTTACATCTATACATTTTCTGCCATTGCCTTTCAAGATATAGCTTTTTTTTCCTTTCCAGGACAGACAGAGGATTGATTGTTTGTTTTCTGGAGTAAGAATTTGGATAGAATTCCACCTTCACCACTAACTGTCTATGTGATCTTGAAGAATGTACAAAACCCCTCGAAGCACTGGTTTTCTCATCTATAATATGTACATAAAGACACAACATATATCCTTAGGTTTTGTTGTGAGCATTTAGTAAAGTAGTGCATATAAAGTACAAGTTCCCAGCACATAGCAAGGACTTATTGATATTAACCATTATTATTATTTTATCATTATCATTCCGGCTGCTATTGCTACTATTTTTTTTTTCAGATTTCTAAGAGATTGGATTTCCTTCCATCATCCAATCCATTTACGCTAATAGTGAGGCGTATACTTTTCACCTATGAGCATTGAAGTTAGAAGAGCATTAATCCATGTTATAAGAACTTCTTTATATATAAAATGTCAATAGTCATCTATCTTGCATGTGTTGGTCGTAGACTATAATCTTCTAGGAGATGAATAATTTTGTTTTTAGAGAATGTGAACTTAAGTATTGTTTTTTCATTAAAATTTAGTTTATATTACTCGTTAAAGTTAAGAAAAATCTAATTCTAGTGCTAAAAAAATCATGAACATGATGTTTTTGTTTTCTAGCAAACAAGTGTACCCATTTACTTATTTTAAAGATAGTGGAGCCATTCATTTTGGTTTCCCTTCCATTCCTTTCTCTCACACTTTTTGGCCTGGCAGTACTACTAATGATTTTATAGCCAACTGTTGAGGGGAAAACATTAGGGTTCTCTGTATCAGAATTACATAAAGAGAAATTAACCACATGGACTTTTAAACTGGACACCCCACAGTGTTAAATAAAGAGAATCTAGAATTGACGGACTGAAAAAAGAAAATGAATACAGATGGGAGTCAAGTCTTTGGTACAGAGAGTAAAGGCCCCATAATTGAACTACAATACTTTACAATTTCCAAAGAAAAGAAAATAAAGAGCTAGCAGTAGTAAATGCAGCTTTACAAAAAGCCTTTTCTTAACATTATGGCTAAGAAAATATTGGAAATGAAAAGGAGGACAGTGACTCAAAAAGTAATATACTGTGTCAGGCTTTTGAGGTTAGCAAGGAAAATATTATTTAGGTGAATCTATCTCAAGGGCAAAATCAACGTAGTTTGAGCTAATGTGAGCCAAAGGTTTTAGGAATAAAACAAAGGATATATTTTTCAAATACTCTCATACAACAAATATACTGTGGTGAAAACAAGTTTGCTAATAAAGCAAGAGCAACATTGAATTTTATACTAATTCCCTTTAAAATCAGAGGGAAGATTTCTAATAACTGAACGCATAGAGAATCATAGTTCAACTGCTTCATTCAATTTATGTGGAAAAAGTGTGTCCAGAGAGATTAATTCACTTACCAAAGCCATGGAGATAGTTAAGGTAGGGTGGGGCAGGGTAGAAGGAATACTCGGCGTTTTCAACAGGTAAAATGGTTTAATAATATCATTTGGGAGAGAAGTGTGGCAAACACTCAAGATTTGATTCTGAAATGGTCCTTAGTGTTCTGATAGAGGGCGGGGAAGACACGAATGGGTCTGATTCATTCTAGGACGCTCCTAGAAGGCTTTTTGCAGAACGGATTATATGGGTTTGCTTTAATAATTTATGTGCATCCTAGTCCACGTGTCCCTAATTCACCTAGTACTAAATTAAGCATCAGAAATTGGTAGGCTCTTGAAGGAAAGTTCATTTATTGGACATTGAACCAAAAAGAAAGATAAGAAGGATACCAGGTTCTCTA